AAATCTTTAAAAAAAAAAAGAAAAGAAAAGAAAAAACTACTTGCAACCAAAACCACATCCCCAAACTGACGCCTCACTGGGCTCAGGGAAGCATGTCCTATCACCGTCACCTAGGGTCTAGGGATATGAATGGACAGTAAACAGGGCACTTAAAATTATTTCAGATTTGCTTAGCCTTCAGATAGAACTTCAACTTCACAGAAAATACAGGAAATGAAAGGACAAGCTTAACACCGGCGCACAGCAATCACACAAACCCTAAAGACAGACTTCTGTGGGGCCACCAGCCAGTGCTTCTCCGAGACAGCGCCACAAGGGAAGAAATGTGCTAGATCAGGGGGGTGGCAAGCTGTTGCCAACGGCAGACTGACAACTATTTTTGTTTGCTCCTGAGCTAAAAACGGTTTCACATTCCTTAATAGCTAGGGGGAAAAAAGTCAAAAGAATAATAGGGCTTTGTGAAACATAAAAATTATAAGAAACTCAAGTTTCCGAATCCAAAAAGTTTTACTGGAACACAGCCACACCCATCTGTTCATATAGTGTCTATGCCTGCTTTTGAGTGACAAGATCAGAGTATTTGTGATAGTGATCATATGGTCCACAAAATAAAAAATATATACTACGTGACCCTTTAAGGAAGAAGGTGTCCAACCTCTGTGCTAGACTAGATACAAAACTTACGGGCATCCAAGTATGTGGCTCTGGACTGGATACGTTTTGGAAACGACCACCTTATAAAACAAGCTCCAGAGAGACCTCTTCCTTGCCTGTGCCACCACATGAGGACACAGTGAGAAGGCGGCAGCTAGAAACCACGAAGAGGGTCCTCACCAGGATGCAAACATGCTAGTGCCCCTGATCTCGGACTTCCCAGCCTCCAGAATTGTGAGAAATGCATTTCTGATTTCTAAGCCACCCAATCTGCAACATTCCCTTATAACAGCCCAAATGGACTAAGGCAATCCAAGACATCAGCTTCTCTCTCAAGATGTACTGACCAAGCAGGTGGATTTTATCTCCCAATCTATCAAACCTGTGCACTCCTTTCCGTCTCCCCCTCTACCTTAAGATCCAGTCAACTCGGGCCCCAAAGCCACTCTGTTCCCCCTGCTGCTCTGTTCTTCCCCTGACCCAAGGTTTCTTTCACGCACAAATCAGATCATGACACTCTTAACCATACTCCTCACTATTAGAATAAAAACCAAAGTCCTAACACAGTAGGACCTTGGTTCTGCTAATCTCTTTAGCTCATTCTATACCATCCTCCCACCCCCTCAGTCACTTCCCCATTTCTCTTCGCTACAGACCCACTGGTCATTTTTTAGTTCCTCAAAAGTATCACGTACCCTCTTGCCACAGGATGTTTGAACAGGCTGTTCTGTTTGGAACCTTCTGCCTTTCTTTGCCTACTTAAGTCAATCTTTCAGAGCTCCGTCCAAGTGTCACTTCCTCAAGGAAACCTTTTCTGACCTCCCAGACTAAGTTTTGTTCCTCACCAAATACCCAGAGAACCATGCTCCCTTTCTTCAGTGCCCTCTTCTTAGTAACTGTGGTAAAGCCATTAGTGCACTCATGAGGCTGTCTCCACCAGGAGACTGTGACCTAGCTTCTGACCACCACTGATTCCTAGTATTTGGCACACTGGATGGCACACAGTAGAGACTCAGTAAATACTTTAAAATGAATGAATGACAAGGCTGCTTAAGGAACTGAAGACAAGGAATAGGAAATATGATCCAATCCCTAGGGAAATGGAATTATATAAAAAAGGTAGCCAAAAGCCCCAACCAGTCTGCTTCTAGAGCCACAGGGCAGGATCAGAATCCTGTTGAAAAAAAAGCCAACTTTTTAATCTTAGGGACCTAAAAGCTGGATGGCCCAAAGAGATAGTTATGCTACTAATTACTGCCAGCTGCTCTCTCATTGGCTCATGGAGGGGTGTGGGGACTGTTAGAATAGGAATCATAGAAAGCTGTGCTTCTCAAACTAGGGGTGCTTTGGGGCACCTGGGTGGCTCAGTCAGTTAAGCGTCCAGCTCTTGGTTTGGGCTCAGATCATGATCTCAGGGTCCTGGGATCAAGCCCCACTTGGGGCTCCGCACCCAGCAGGGAGTCTGCTTGAGGTTTCCCTCCCCCTCTCTTTCTGCCCCTCCCCCAACTTGAGCAAGCGTGCACTTGTGCAAGCGCGTGTGGTCTTTCTCTAAAATAAACCAATCTCTAAAAAACAAACAAATAAACAAAAACTATGGGTGTTCCACGGAGTATGTAACAGTTTGAGATTTCCTGGAGTATCAATTTCATTTTGGAAGATTTAGGGAATAAAATATCTTAATTTTAAAAAGGCACTATATTATTTCAAAGATAAATACAAAACATCCAAAGAAATGTAAATGCATCAAGAGTTACACACCACTGCTGCTACCCCTACCACCCCTGGAATATGCTTCCCCCTATGCATAAATCTATTAAATAACTAGGGAAGGCTATACTTAAAATTTTTTAACACTGGCTATCTCAGGAGAGTAGGACTAAAATGTATTCAAATAAACCCACTTTCTTTAAGAAGGCTTTCCAAACTTATCTTACTGAAAGGTTCAAATTCCTTTATCAATTTTCTTACCACCATGGTACTAAAACTACATATATTGTTTTACCCATTCATTCCTATTTCCATTGATCATCACTGTACTAAGTTCCCAGGAAACAAACATTACTGAGTATTTGCCTTAAGAGTGTGGTCCAGTGGGAGGGACAGACACATAAATAAGTAATTATAAAATAATGTGTCAAAGGGTAGAGTTATGAAGTCTGAAAGAGCAGGTAAAAAATCAACCAGGGGGGCGCCTGGGTGGCTCAGTGGGTTAAAGCCTTTGCCTTCGGCTCGGGTCATGATCCCGGGTTCTTGGGATCGAGCCCCACATTGGGCTCTCCCCTCAGCAGGGAGCCTGCTTCCTCCTCTCTCTCTCTGCCTACTTGTGATCTCTGTCAAATAAATAAGTAAAATCTTTAAAAAAAAAAAAAAAAATCAACCAGGCACAAAGGTAGTCAATCAGGGGGATATTAGTGGTAAAAGTGACATTATGGTCCCAAACTGCGGCTCTAAAACCTTGTCCAAGGCAAGAAACAGCATGTGCAAGTGTTTCTCAAAGATAAAAGCAATGGGGCTTGAACAGAGGGCAGGACCGGAACACGGAATGATTTTGTATGCTGTGTCAAGATACTTCAACTATCCTGAGCACAGTAACTGAAGGATCTGAAGCAGAAGAAAACTGTAGTTGATTTTTACACAGACCACACTGAAGGCTATATGTACGATGGATTTAAGGAGACATGACTGGAGGCAGGAATTTAGTTTTACATCAAAAATAAATAAGAAGTTGTCTTTTCCTTGTGGAATGTTTCATGGCTCTTAGCCCATCCCCCCCAACTAATCACCTCACAGATTGGAATGGAGAAGCGGACAGACGACATGCTTGGAAATGTGTATAGTTACTAAGGACTACAGACCAACCTCACCCCAGGCTCTCCCACAGCATTTTTAATCTTCTTTTGTGGCACTTAAAACATTCTCCCCTGCACCTGCTTTGACAGTCCGTATCTCTCTAGTCTGAAAAATAACTGCACCACTCGAATATTTCATAGTTCCATAAAGTTAGCACAAAGTCTTTGGAAAAAAATATCGCTTAAAATAACTCTCAGAGGGGCGCCTGGGTGGCTCAGTGGGTTAAAGCCTCTGCCTTCGGCTCAGGTCATGATCTCAGGGTCCTGGGATCGAGCCCCAAATTGGGCTCTCTGCTCAGCAGGGAGCCTGCTTCTCCCTCTCTCTATGCCTGCCTCTGCCTACTTGTGATCTCTGTCAAATAAATAAATAAAATCTTTAAAAAAAAAAAAATAACTCTCAGATCTAAGACTACTTTTTCAATTGCCCAGTAAACGTTTCCAGCTGGATGTCCTATAAGACTCTTAACCTAAACCACATGGATCTCGCTACGTCTCCTACCCATTGCCAAACTAATCATGCTTCCATTTCATATTTAGGTATTTATCCCAACCCTGAGTCATCTCTGACTGCTCACCCTCCCTTACTGCCATAAACACAGCTGCCAAATGCTGCAAATGCATATGCATTTCTCTCTTCCTTTTCCCCTGCCCTAGTTCAGACTGGGAAATGCTTCCCCATCTCTTCCCCTCCCCCACAGAACCTACAGTAACTATCAGGATTGCCTTACTAAAGCAGAGATGTGATCATTGCCCTTTCCCACCTTCAAAGAGTTAGAAACGTCACAAAGACAAGAATCACACCCAACTTTACTAACTGCTGTAAGGCAGAGCCCAAAGTTCCTGGTACATAACTGGCACTCCATGATTTACTTGATGAAAATACGCCTACCCCTTTGGTTCCTGTCGCATTTTCCCCCTTTTTCTACTGAGGGTGAACAGATTATTGTACTTGCCAAGTAACAAAACTGTTATCCTCCCCACTATCTATACCCTTCAGTTTCCCCACCAGACGGTGATGCCAGCAGATCAGGGACCGGGTCTTTGCACCCCGTGTTCCTAGGCCGGTGCGGGGCCCCCCAGGAGCGCGCAGTAACTGGATGTGAACGCACGAATTAGTGAATGAACGGGTCGCTTGAAGTCGTCATCCTCTCCCACACAGAGGAGAAGGGGCGGGAGGTGCACATGGGATGGAGGGGAATACAGTGAGGGGCCCTTTTTTGGTCTACTTTGGCTTTCTTTTTACCGAACACAACACGTATGTTGAAAGAGCATAAGTCAACTTCTACAGCTCGTTAATTTTCACACACGAGCACACCGTGACACCAGCACCCAGGCCGAACAGAGTATTAACGGTACCCAGAAGCCTCCCCGCGCCCTCTCCGACTGAGTGCCCCCTCAACCTTGAGAAAGCCAGAGAGCTCAAGCCCTGATCCCCTAGCCGCGGTAAGCGACGTCCCTCGGTGGTCTGAAAAGGCCAAGAACCGGAAAGACGCTTACCCACGAACTTGAAGCGACTCATGTCTGCAGCCCCGGCGGAAGCGGAAGTGGTCGCCGTCGTCCCGCCCTTCCGGCTGCCCCGCCCCTCGGCCCGGGAGCTTCCGCGGCCGCTGGAGGAAGCGGGTCGTCATGGCGTTCTGCGCGCCGGGTGCCTACCTGACCCACCAGCAGAAGGTGTTGCGGCTTTATAAGCGGGCGCTGCGCCACCTGGAATCGTACTGCGTCCACAGGTGGGAGAGGGAGAGCCGGGGCGCGGGGAGGTGACCCCGGGGATCCTCACGGAGACCGAGAGGCCTTGTGGAACCGAGCGGCTCAAGGACATGGGGGACGTAGTGGGAAGGCGGCCGTGGACCCGGGTCCAAATCCCCGCTTCGTCGCTCCTCGCTGCGAGACCTTGAAGAGTTGCTTATCTTGGCCCAGGCCTCGGTTTTCTAAGACCGACGCAGGACCAGCGCAGAGGGTTGCATGACGACTAAATGAAATAAAGGACAGTGCCTAAAAATCTGATTGTTGTGCTTCAAGCCCTCGCTTAGAACTTTCTTTTTAACCTTCTTGTTGCTAATATTGGGAGCAGTAATAGGTGCGATGTTTTCTGTAGTCCTCATAACAACTCCAAAAGTTAGGGATTATTTAGCCTTAATTTACAAGTAAGAAAATAGGCATGGAGAATAACTTGCCAAGGCCCTACAGCTGGTGAGTGGCCGGGCCAGGATTAAAACTCAGGGGGTAACCCAAAAGCATCACCACTCTCCCACCTCTCCAGTCAACCTTCCTCTTTTTAGCTTCAGCCCTTTCCATTATTTTCACACCCACATGATTACTTACCCGCCGCATCGTTCTCTTTCTTCTCCCTGTCTGAGAGTGGTCTTAGGACTTAGTCTTAAAACACATAGATTTTTGTGACCTGGATGCAATGCATGGTGGGGTGGCAACCCAGATGTGTGGATGCTGGGCTTCCCCTGCCTCGCTGGAATCCTAAAGCCTAGCCCCAGGAGAAGGGCTCCTGGGAGAAACCTCTAAACAGATGGAAAAATAAGTAGGTCTGGAAAAGTTGTGGAGGGTATTCCTAAAACCCAGATTGCATATTTGTGATTATTGGAAGGTCATTGACCTACTTCTCTTTGCTAGACAGAAAGATGGCCAGGTTCATTGTTGTCAGATTGCTGCTTTTCTCCCTGAATTTTCCTTATTCATTCATCTGACAAAATTTGCAGCTCGGGTTCTGTTCTGGCTGCGGCATAAATAAAAATTAGCAAGTTCTCTTTCTCAGCTGTCGCAGATCACAGATTAATGGGGAAGGTGGGCATGTGAGCGAACAGGTAACGGAATTATCGGTCTTACAAAGATGAAGGAAGTTGAGCTGTCAGGAATTCAGGTACCACTGAACTGCATCTGGGAATATTAAAATTCATAGTCCTGGAGGAGAAGATAAAAGCATCTCAGTGGTTTTTAAGTCTCACTGACGTCCTTTCCCAGGACTTTTCTCCCTCCGTTTGTCCTCGGTGCTCTTTGTTCTCCACGGTTCCATCCCAGGTCCTTGATGGTGTGTATGTTTTGGGCAGCCTCGTCGAATGCTGGGAGTTGAGTTACCACCTAGGCTCACTTGTCTCTAAGGCTGCTTTCCAGCTCTTTGTTACATAACCTACAGTTTTCTGAAACTCAACTTGTCTTAATGCCTTAAAACTAAACTCTAAAGTATGTCATTCTGATTCTTTTCCCAAATTCCCTGTCTCTGCTAATAGCATTATTAATAATTCAGTCATTCAGCTTTAAGTCTTAAAATTGTTCTTAAGTACTCCTTGCTTATTCCAGTGCCAGTGACAATACGTGCCAACGACACACGTATGCTGGGACACTGTCTTTGTAAATTCTCTCCACAGTATAATAATATGCGAACTGACTTTGAGCAGAGGAGGTACCAGGCGCTGTCTGAAGTGTGTTGATAGGTTTTAACTGATCAAGTCTTCAGGATAGCTGTAAGATCTAGATACTGTTATTAACACTTTTGTAGAGGAGGAACCCATGGCCTAAAGATACTAATTTACCCCAGATTACACAACTAGTAAGCTGAGATTTAGTCTGAAGCGATCTGATTTTATCAGACGCTTGTAATTCTGTAATATACATGTTTCTCTCCTGTCTCCTCCCATCACAGTTGCCTGCTTCAGGCCCTTCTCATCTGTGGCTTGGGTTATCGTCGAAGCCTAAATGATCTATGCCTACCGTTTCTTCTAGAACCTGACCTTAACTTGCCTACAATCATGCAGTTAGTGTCAGAATTAGGATTCAAACCCAGATCTGTGTGATTCAAGCAATACTGTTTCCACTGCGTAACATCTCCCTTCCTACTTACATTTGTATGTCCAGAATTTAGCACAGTGCCTAGCACAAGATAGGAGGAATCTCAGTAGTTGTCATTTAGTGAGTGTTGAATGATACAGAGGCGATAGTTCTTTCTTTCTTGCAAATTATCTTTGTTTGTTTGAATCAGCATTCCTTTTTTAGAGAGGTAGGTTGTGTTTAATACAGTATTTTTTTGCTGCCACCACCGTGTGGGGAGCTGCCAAGGAACCCATCATAATGATGTGGCTCCTTCGTTGGCAGGCTCTGGGCTGGCTCCCAGTAGTTAAGCTGCCCATGCAGAAGACGGTTAGTAGAAGTGCAGCCCCTTGGCAGACAGTAATCCTGCTCAATTGAGTAGGTAATGTTTCTCATCTCTAAAACCATTTTGCTTAAAGGGACAAATATCGGTACTTTGCCTGTTTGATGAGAGCTCGGTTTGAAGAACATAAGAATGAGAAGGACATGGTGAAGGCCACCCAGCTGCTGAGGGCCGCAGAGGAAGAATTCTGGCACAATCAGCATCCCCAACCTTACATCTTCCCTGAGTCTCCAGGAGGGACCTCCTATGAGAGATACGAGTGTTACAAGGTAGGTGAGCACCATAGTGGTGACCGCCTTCGGAGAGGCAGACTTTCTCCCGTCCCAAAACTCACCCCCAGATCCCACTTGCCCGGTTAGGGGCAGCTAGGCAAAACTCTTTCCTGCCACTGGTAAATACTTTCCTGTTTTCAGGTGTCCGTTTTCTCTCTCCAGGTGACATTCTGCCTTGTGCTTCTGAGAGTTCAGCTCCAAGGTCTTGCAGTACCTTTTTGGCATAGCAGTGTGCTAAAATACTTGGTATATAACTCATTTTGGGATCTTAAAGTTAGCCAGTTTGGATTGGTGCTTTCAGAGCAATTACAGGTACCAGGCCGCTCTGGGTATTTAGAGAATGCAGATCAGAGAGCATCGGTGCCTGCTCTCTCTGGCCTGAGCTTGAGGTTTCTCAGCCTGTGACACTGACTCTCAGGTGTTCTTTAGGTCCGTGCCAGCTCACCCTCCACTGTCGTTGTGCCGTGCTCGAAGCAGTCTGATGGCTTGCAGTGGTTATAAAAATACACGGTCATTTTTGCCTTCTGCTTCCTGAGCAGGCCCTGTGGGTGGCATGTTAGTGCCTCCTCCGGGCTGATGCGGTGAATTCCTCTCCTGACAGGTGCCCGAATGGTGCTTAGATGATTGGCACCCGTCCGAGAAGGCAATGTATCCTGATTACTTCGCCAAGAGAGAGCAGTGGAAGAAGCTGCGGATGGAAAGCTGGGAGCGGGAGGTGAGTCTCCCCTGCCTTTCGCCACACAGCGTGGCCCATGTGGTCAGCGCCTGGATGGGCTCAGGTTTTGTTCCCCAGGTGCAGAGGTCCAGAGTCCAGTCTTGATGGTTACTGTGGCCCCTTGCCTCTCAGATACACTTGTGTGTCTAGATGTGCTAAATGTAACCTTTATTTACAGCCTTTTTGTAAACTGGTGACAGGGTGTCGCTGGTCTCTTTGGATTTTCTGCTCCCTGCTTTTGCTTCTCCCCTCCCTCCTCAGTCCTCTGCCTGACCGTCCTGCTGTACCCTCCTGTCCCTGAATTTTCCTCTCCACCAGGGCCTCGGACATTTTTCTTTCGTGATGTCTGATTGACATTTTTAAAAGCTCAACTTTACCGGAGTGTGAAGAATATATTGGAGAGCTCGAGAGGAGAATTGGAGAGACCAGTTTGGGGCTGTTGCAGTTTGGTCAAAGAGTATGGCAACCAGCAGCAGGGGGCATGCAGTGAACAGGGAAAGAAGTCAGTTCAGGGTATCACTGGCAGGGATATGAAGGCCGACTGGATGCGGGCAATGTGTGAGGGACAGAGAGGACTCAGTGAGATCCACGTTAACACCTGGAGTTTGGTGATGTTTTATTGAGATAAAGAAGAGGGGAAAAACGGGTGCCAGTGGGTTAAGCATCCGATTCACAATTTCTGTTCAGGTTGTGATCTCAGGGATGTGAGATGGAGCCCCGTGTCAGACTGCACACTTGCGGGGAGTCTGCTTCTCTGTCCCTGCCCCTGTGTGCTCTCTCCCTCCCTCTCTCTCTCAAATAAATAAATCTTTAAAAAAAGAAGAAGAAGAAGAAACAGGTGTTGGAGGGACAAGTAAGTGTTTGGTTTTAAATTTGTTATATCTGAGAGGCCTGTGAGACACCAAGTGAGATGGCAGTAGGTGACTTTGGGTGTAGAGACCTGGAACTCAAAAGAGAGATTTGAGCTCAAAACAAATTTGTGAGTTATCCATTGTTTTATTTTTTTTTTATTTTTTATTTTTTTTTTTTAAGATTTTATTTATTTGAGAGAGAGAGAGAGCATGAAAGGGGCGAGGGGCAGAGGAAGAAGCCAGCTCCCTGATGAGCAGAGGGCCCGATGTGGGACTTGATCCTGGGACTCCAGGATCATGACCCGAGCCGAAGGCAGTCGTTTAACCAACTGAGCCACCCAGGTGCCCAGTTATCCATTGTTTTAAAAGCCACAGAAATGTAGGAGATCTTAAGAGAGGGAGCAGAAAGGTTACAGGCGCTCCCACTCGAGGAGGCGAGGAAAGGAGGCAGCAAAGCACCCAGCAGGGAGAGGGGTGACAGCAAGTCCAAGAGAAAGTGTGTCAGGAACGGCCAGTCAGCATTGGTCCTTG